TAGCAAAATTATCGTTATCGGCGAGTATTATCAAGTCAAGGACTACATTTTTCCAAGCACCAATTATACTGTCCATGATATACACACATCACGGAACAAGGACTATTGAAAGATAAAGAAGTGGAGAAAATTGGTAAAAGATACCACTCACGAAGAACAAAGTTTCCGAGTGGATGCCTTGTAGGTCTGAAGTAGAATCAGAATGTATGGTCAGACGTCAACGAAAACACGTCGTTAGATACAATGGAAATATTTAACTCGTCTTGTCGCTTCAATTAACCCATCTTCTTAATGAAGTTAATATCTCAGTCTCTCACTCTCAATAACAGAATTATTTAAAATTGCAAAACATTTTCAATAATAATAATTTCCAACTATTAAAATTGCGAACGAAAATAAAAAAGTGTATAGATTATAAATAAGCAAATAGTGAAAGCTTCATCAAAATAGTAAAAGATCACGACCCTCCGGTGAACCTTCCTCACCACGTTAATGATAGACTTTACTTAAAAACTGGCTAATAGAATTCCTTGAAGTTCACAAGAATTTAATGAAAGAACTCAACGTACCAACACACCCCACACAATTTCCCCACGCTTCCAAGCATCTTACGACAACCTGTTCCTCAGCAGAGTAACGAAGAACAGCTGGCCCACGAAGAGACCCGGGATCGCGGCACGAATCGGTGGGAGCGTTTTCATTTAGACGTAGATTATTCCTAGATGCCTCTCATAAATATTAAACAGCGTGCTCGCACTCTCGAATTCACGCAGGCGAAACGTTGCCGTACTTTTTTACTCTGATACCTTGTCCCGGCTGCTGCAGTACCCCTTTTGCTTCTTCCCTCCTTCACGCCCCGTTCACCCTACAGCGACGATCCGTCGCTCATTGAGTATGCATCGTCGATATCGACAGCAGCGGGAGCCTCATCGTTTAGCCGACGGCCACGACGGAAGTCGGTGCTGGTCCGGGGACGTCAATCATGGCCCATGCTGGGACAAAGAAATAGGAGAAAAAAATATGGCATACCGCTCTTTTTGTATATCTATTTATACTGTGGGAGGATGAGTGTGTTACAATAGACACTTCAAAGTTTATAGATTCTATGTCTCTATGTCTCAGATCATTGTACTTTAGGTCTACGCTAGCTCTCTAATTTTCTAGATCACTATATCCTCCATTTTCTGTATGTCAAATTCATGTATACAAGATTATCTCCCAATTCTGACATCTCTAAATTTTAATGTGCCCAGATCTCTATATCTTCAAATTACAGCCCCTAGATCTCTGCACAGATCCCTATACTCTGTCGACTTAGACTCAAACCCAGATCCTAGACCCAGACCCTAAATCTCCAAATCCTCGTATTCCCAAAATCCTGTATCTCCAACTCTAGCTATCTCCACCTCTCCAACTATATCTCCAAAGACTAAATACTTGATCTCTAAGCACCCATATCCCTATATCTCCTCATCCCCAGATTCCCACACAATGTTCTCGAAATCAGAAGCCCACCCGTAACAAGAAAGAGACGGCAAAGGTTAAAGCGTGTAGGTGAGAGAGGTTGAGAAGGAGGTAGGTCCGTCACGTCAAAACGAGTTCATTAAAACCGCAGTGCGGGTTCGTCTAACCTCGAAAGAAACGCACCACTCGCGGCCCCGGCATTGTTTCACGTTTCGTACAGGCGGATCGGTTCGCTTACACACACAAGTAGGAACATTCAGTTAACACAGCGCTGGCGAGAATGCACGTACAGGCGTGCGTGAGTTGTATAAGATGGCCGTGGACTTTAGGTACGTACGGTATCGGCCGAAAAATATGTTGCTGCTACAACACCGTGTACTGGCTTCCCTTCTCCCGGTTGGTTGGCGAGCGTGCGCCCGGCGTGGCGGCGCAAATAAATCTCTTTCTAATTGCTCGCGGAAAAAACGTGGACGTAGGTTGCTCGCGGGGGATGGCGCCCGACAAAGGGCCAGCGCTAAAACCGTGTCTCGAGCGTGGTTTATTTCGCCGGTCGGTCGGCACTGAACGGTTTTCGCCGGTGCTACCGCTTTGTTTATTGATATTTACAACCGGAGTGACACGCGAAACACGTAGAAGAAAAGAGGGTTTCGGGCTGAGAAGAAACGGGGTTGTTCGCTTTTGTCCGCGGAGATTCGCTCGCGAGTTACGCCTGTTTTTTCGCCGTTTAGAGGCAGTCGTGTCGGCGTTCTCTCGTCATAGCACGACGCAGGTGTAGATTCTTCGGCTCCGAGGAACGACAGAGCGTTTTTGCGGCCGGGAAACCGCTTGTCCGCAACGTGACCGCGACACGAGCGTATTTTCGAAGAAATTTTGCGGCTCAATTTTTCCCGACGGTCGATCGACCTTTTTGATTTCTGCCCCGACATCGATTATCGTGATCGGTCTAGCCGCACGAACGCGTAGAGACATCCCCGGCCGGACGGCAGCAAGAATTTCAGGCAAAAAACGCGCACGGTCCGCGGTTCGAAATGTATGCAAATGCGCGTGACGAGTCGGCACCGCCTCGCGACGGAATACGTAAGTACGAGCTGGAGGAAGAACGGGAAGAAGAGGAAGAGAAAGAAGCGGCGTGTGCGGACCCAGCTTAACGCCGATGGCCACTGAAACGCCACGGTGGCAAGCTGCTGTTATCTCGTTTCCTCCAGCACCCTAAAGAACACGCGCTTTACGCGTTCATGTCGAACGTGCAAAAATAACGCGCTCGGTCGCTTGCATCCCTCTGCAGCAAGGAGTTAATGGGCGGTTATTACGGATGCATCGAAAATGTCGAGGAACGGGAAAGAAAGTGAAAATTTCTATGAAAGTATAATAAAGCAAAAATGCAGTTAATTCGTTACGGTCGATTAGGTGATAAACTCTCAGTCAGCGTGTGTTGAATGATTGAAGACCTAATCTTGGATCTACTCCTTGACTCTGTTATAATTACGCGGTACTTATCGGACTAATTATCATTCATAGTATATAATATAAGTACACGGTAAAGCTTCGAAACCTTAACCTGTAATAACTCAAAGGGAATAGAGTACATACGATACTGTGTAAGATAGTTAATATCAAATCGTAAATAATGCTGTTTTATCTGATGTGTTCTTCGTGACTCTGATCTAACCCTCTTGTTCCCTTCGGACGCTTTCTTCTTCTTCTTCAGCCTGCGGCTCGTTGCTCCACGGAACCGACTTAGCTAATTAAAGTAACCGTACGGTTTTTGATTGACGCCCAAGGCGTAAAAAGTCGTGGACGCGCGAACGCACCGGCACCCAAGCGTCCGTCACCGATTGCGCAACCGCCGGAACCGAGGGTTGACGAGCAGTAGAAACGCGGCTTACGTTTTTAAACGTCTTCTCGTTGCCCGTCAAACGCGATTCTTATCGGTTTTCAGGGGAATTACGCTGTTTCGTAGCTTGAGAACGAGACGCCCGTGAATTTCCTTTCAGCGTATAAATTCGAGCTAATAGATTCTTTTCTATCTAAAATGGAAACGGAAACGTCTACCGTAGAAATCTTTCTCTCGATAAAACTCAACAACATTATCACGATAGAGATCCCAGATATACTTCGCTTCTGCCACATAGTAATTCCTGAATATTCTTCTACTGCGATAAGTTCATGTACAAGGTTTTCCAATTTCCCAGGAACATTGTAACCTCTCAAATAGTTGCACCTCGTTAGGCCTCTTTAGACTCGCACATTATAATTCATGTTTACCCTTGTATGGTAATCTTCGACACTCTCAGAAGACTCAGAACTTTTCACATTTACAAAACTCATATCCTATTCTCAAATCCCCAAATTTAGAATATTTTAACGACTTCGGCATTGCATATCGAACATTCGATCTTCCAATCACTGTCACAAGTCGTAAAAACTCGACATTACAAGTGCAGTAAAGTTGCCTGGATGCAAAGAGACACGCTGTCACGCAAAGAGAAGGGAGAAAAGAAAAAGAAGAAAATTTCCTCTTCCTGCAAGTTTTCACGAGAAGGGTTAACCCGCAACGGTTCATTCGGATCGCAAAACGCATGAAACTCTCCTCTCGCGTGCAGCCTGAGCTTACGTAAGATTGAGTAGCTCGTCACGTGCACGCAGCGCACGTATAGATCGCGCGAAGACACAAAAAAATACGCCGCATGTGCAATCCCAACGGTGCGGCACACGCGCATTAGTATCCGCTGCACAAGCCGAACTCTAGGAGGCAGGCAAAGAAACGATGGAGTTACGAAACCGAGCAACTCCGTTTTTCTTTTTTTCCATCTGTTTCAACCCGGTAGCGACGATGCGACGTATTATGTACAATAGATTCCTGAAACCATTCTGTCGCACAATGTGTCCCCCTCCACGTCTCTGTGTTGCATACTATTCGCGTTGGGAAGCTTCCAAAAATATTTCACCTTGCGTTTGTAAAAAAAGATGCATTCAGAGGTCGTTATGAATAGAAATACAAAAAGATAGTATATCTATTCGGAAGAGGGTCGAAGAGATTTAAGGGTTCGCAAAAATAATGTTCTTAAAAGCTATGAATTATGCGTTGTAAATATTGAAATAAATTTTGTTATCGCGTTTGAAATTACTGTCAATTTTCCTCCTATTAAGGTTGCCGGTAAAAAATATGGGACGATATGGTTGTCCTTCCCCCGCGCAAGGAACGAACACGCGAAGCATGTATCATTACAGGCGCTTCGTACTTGCAGAAATTTATATCAGAGTCTGTAATTATCGGATGTTTGACGGACGGAAGGACAGCGACAACAGAGACAGTGAAAATTGCTGGCCTCTCCTGAGACCAACGTGTCTCGGGTCCACGTTAAATAGTACATCAACCTGAGCGACGACGAACTTCTTTTTCTTCTTCTTCTTCGTCCTCTTCCTCTTCTTCTCCGCCCTTTTTTCCTCTATAGCGGCTCTCTCCCGCCAATAGCTACTGACAACTCGCGAAACGAGTTTCACCTGAACGGTCGTTCTTTCGATTTTTGTTGCAGGTGAAAATCTGGTTCCAGAATAGAAGAAGTAAATATAAGAAGATGATGAAGGCAGCACAGCAGGGCGGTGGAGGCGGTGGAGGCCAACACGGCAGCCTTCTAGCCGGTGGAACCGCTCTGCCTGGAGGACCATCCCCTCAACCAGGTCAACCAGGAAGTCTCATGCAAGGAGGTGCGTTTCGTCTTCATCGTTTCGTCGATAACATACCGCGTCATAAAAATGCTTCAAACCGATCTAACTTAAGACGCACACGCGTCGCGAAACTAACGAGTATTAATAATCATCCCCGGCATCGATTTCGAGTCAAACACGATTTTAATTATCCCCAAGATACGAGGCTAGATCAATCGTATTGATGGCGAACGTGAGCCTTAACGAGACACGTTCCGCGTACGAATGAATGTTAATTGGGATGAAACTATGCTGAAGTGGTAGCAGAAGTTCACATCGTTCTTATCCTTGAACACGAACACAACTCGCGAATATCCAGTCGGAAGATATAAATCAATTAGAGATCGTTACGACACCGACAGAGGACCGTTCGACAACCTTGCCGATCCAGATCTTAACTTGATTTCGAGACGCAACTGGTTCGACACATGCGTTTGCGGAGCATTCCTGAATTGCAATTTGCGAGTGTTATTAAAATTGAGCCTGCGGGGTCCCGTTGGATCGTGTAGGTGCAAATACCATGATATCAGTCTGACATGTTTATAAAAATATCAGCATTTGAATTTACAGAAATCAAGAAATACAGGAATACAAAAATTAGCTTCCCAAGTATTTACACATCTGAAGATGTATATATCTGTAAATATAACAATCTGATAAAATAGAGATCTAGATATGTAAAAATTCAGAAATGTAGCTATCTACATCACAAACCCAATAACCAAAGGAAAGTTTCATTACATAATCCAATCAATAAAACGAATCGTTAAATACTACTAGCTGATTCTCCACTGATACTGTGTTCCTTGTGCCTCCTCGAATAACAAGTTAATCCGCTGCTCCCAATCAAGAATAATCACAGTCGATGAATAATCGCACGAAATGTAACGGTTCCCCCCATTCGAAAGGTAAGTCGAAAGTCTCAAGCATCGATCTCGAATGTTTCAGGTGGCGGAAGTTCCGTGTCGGGTAGTCCGACGACGGGTTACCTTGGAGGCATGGGAGGTGGTGCAGGGGGTCACACCCCCGGCAGTTCGAGCCCCGGAAGCGAGATGTCGCCTCAGCACAACGAGAGTCCACCCGCACCCTCTTGGCCGGGCGAGATGAAGCACCATCCGCATCCGCACGCGCCACCACACACCCACCACCACCCCCATACGCCTGGACACCATCCACCGCCTCCACCACCTCCACCTCATCACGCGGGTTACATGCCACAGTACTCCTGGTACCAGGCGGATCCTAATCCCGGACTACTCACGTAAGTACCACTTCTGGACAATGTTAAGCATCTGTTCTCTTTCGAAAAATATTACGTAAACTACGTTTTTTATGGAGGATTTGTAACACTCATATTATTGTGTGAACTTCAAGGATATTATTATATGAGCTTCATTTAAAAATCGACTGATTTATTATTTTGTAAAAGATCACGTTTTGCTTATTTTCCGTATTAAACCTTTCATGTTTCATTCTGGTTCTGGGGTCCAAATATGAAATTTCATTTCTTTCGGATATTTTCTTTGGGAGAATGAAAATCCAATACGTCCCCCAATTTTCATGGAAAGCAAGGGGTTGGGTTTTAATGGTTCGTTCGCTTATGGTGTTTTTCAGGGTGTGGCCAGCGGTTTAACGAAGACGTCGTTCGAGCTGTGTTCAGGAGGAACCTCTTCGTAGCACCGCGGACGTGCCAGCGCCCCTGCCTCAAAGTGTGAATACGTATAGCACCTGTCGCGATGGAATTCGCGTTCGATGTTAATATTGTTTCTATTCTATTAACGAGAACCGCCTCGAACGATCCTACGGTCGACGATCGATTGTTCGCTAGGAAACTATTCACCGTCGTAGCAAAGTTAGAATACGGATCGTCAAAGACGAAAACACACACGGTCGCGTATCACATCATCGAATCGTGAGATCTAATGCTGCCTAACGTCGAACACGGCAAGAACCGTGAAACGCGTAGAATCTCCTGTCGAAGATCGTTCATCATCCGAACCGGACAAACTAGGTTAACCGATCTAACAACGCACCATTATCATCGTCGAGAACTTGATCCGATGAAACACTGACCGGTACGGAGTTCCCTTCGGTTCGTTAAATGTCAGACTATCGAATCCGTCGGCGTACAATTATCCTGTGACCAAGGCTGTTTTCGGACCACGATCTTTTCGCGTCCATCGAAACCGATCCTCCGTAAATGTCAATCTCGTCGATGACGTTAGGTCGGTCGATCTCCTGTGACAGTTGGCCAATCGAACTGGCTGACCCACTTCGTGCTGGAAGCTGCGATCCAACGGAGCGAGAAGAAAGGGACAGCGAAGGAACGGACGAAGGGAGAACGGGAGAGAAAGGGAGCGAGGAACGTTGCAGAAACTCGTGGCCGTCGAGAGTGGTCGTTCCTCAAGGCGGTTGGAAGTAATGAAATCCTAATGACATTTTCGTGAGTCAAACGATCTCGGCAATCACGGTGGCGCGGCGTAATCACCGGTCCCTCCTTTCCGGATGAAGCAACAGAACCTCCTCCGAAAAGGAGCGGAGTACGCGAGCGACGCGCGTGCGATTTTCGACGGATCTCCAGGAGGATGGGACAGCAGAAAAATCATTATCCCGAGCGACGACGACGCGACGGACAGCTGTGACGTGCGTGTTCATTAAATTCAGCTCGGTGTTTCGCGCGTGTGCGTGCAGATCGCGATCGGTGACACTCTCTGCCCGCGATCCTCTTCGGCGAACTCTCGGCTCGAAATTCCTCTTCTCTCCCTTCGTCCGTGACCGATCGTCAGCTTCTTCGTGCATGCATCGAAATGTTCCAGGTTTTACGCTGTTTTTACCGTTTCCCGTCAGCCATGCTGGCTCACCCTTGCCATCTTGCGTCCCGCCAATGATCTAGCTAGCTTTCAAAAGAGACACCACGAAACCGCAGAAAAAGACGGTTGCGGTTTGCGACCAAGGGGAAACTGGGAGGGTCGGTGAAGCCCCACCGCTGACCCAAATCCTCCGGCGTGTCGGTGCAACAATGGTCGTCTCATGAGAACGCGGTCTCGCACGGTTCCTTTACTTCCTGATTCTACCTTCTTTTTTCGCCTACGTAAATTGGCCAACTACGCGACGGAATTCACGAAATCCGCGTCGAGATGACCTTTTCGTCTGACCTTGTTTCTTTCGATCCTTCTTTATCTTCGGACAATGCAATGCAGAAATTGATATTCTCGATTTAATCTTCGATTGGGTCATAGAAACCGCAGTATGATTTCTTTCACCGTGAGCCTCGGTTCGTGACTGTCGCTGTATTGCGAAGCCAGATTCGTGTCGCTGGATATCTGGAGTAGAGTCGTGACAAAAATTCGACAACAATAACGTCGGTAGATTTTGAAACTAATTCGAGTCTCGAAATTATTTCAATGTTCCAGCCAAAAAAAGTAGCAGATGCGAGAACGGGAACAGGTAGGTTCGCGTGATTTCCATCAGAATTCCAGCGTCGCGATTCTAGGCGCCGTCGAGCGGCGACAATCGGGACGCGGTATCTGTCTCGGGGTACGCGGAGAACGTTTCAACGCGACGATGACGACAACGATTCCCTCCGTGTATACTAATAAGTGCCGTTAGATTCGAGCGCGGAGGTACGCGGCGCGGAAACACAGTTGTTGCGTTTGGATTCGGTGCAATAAGGAGGCGTGTGCGTGTATAATTTAAGACGAAGCTCCCTCAGTTCCTAAATTGCGTGTAGTTGCGAGTGTATTAGCGAGAAAACAGCGTAAAACGTGTCGACGCGAACAACTGGACGAAAGCGTAGAATAACCGTTTTGTCCGGGAATTCGGATTATCAGTCGCCTCGAACGATTCGAGTGGGTCGCGATCGTCCGCTGTCAAGAAAGCAAACGCGATTCGGCTTTGTCACGCTTTCGTCGAGTTCGCGGAATAACAGGAACGACTCGACGGCGGAGCGGAAACGAACGCACGAGGAAAACAAAGAAAAACGTAAAGAAAAAATGATGGATGAGTCCGTAGAATTTACTAGCGTTACTAGTCTCGGTGCAAGTCGACGAGGATCGATCGGAGCGTCCCGAGGATAAAGAGGATCGATCCGCGATCCTCGAGTGCGTGTAAATATTGCACCGGGGCCCAACACACCCCCGCCCCTAGCACGTAAGTCGTCAAAATGAAAGAAATCTGTGTAAAATACGATATTGTGATAAGAGTGTAAAGAGATGAGAGAGAAAACCAGAGAAATCGTCTATATACATATAGGTTAAACAACACACGGCAGACCCCCAGTTTATCAATTTTATCGAGTACCCTTGTACGAATATAGATATTACGAGGACTAAAAATACCTTAATTATGATTACTATTGTATAAAATATGAATAATAACTAATTAATTCAATTTAAAACGAACGACGTATAGTTCATTCACCATCCCCATTCAATTCTACATGAAAATAAAAAGCTTGGATCTCGTGTTCCGGTGCTACCGATCGATCATATCGATAGTCACAGGAAAACTGCAACATGGAACGGATTTCTAATGTCCTGACGATAGCTACGAGTTCCTTTTTTTCCTTTTGCTCTTTGTTCACTGCTAGCGGACACCACCTGCCGCTCTAAAGCTGGTGTACGCATGCTCTACTTTTATGGATAACTGTACTCCTATCTAGCTTAAAGCGAAGCCATCGAGTATTTCATCGTGCAACGTCTACACGGTGTCTTGTAAAAGTCATTCCTTCCAGAAATTTGCGGAAATTGATGGCGGACGTCGTGGAATTCTGCGTCGCTGGATTCTCTTTTTTTGTAAAAGTAAGTAATAAATTCTGTTTGATGAGCTGTATATATTTAAACTGTAGATCGTATCTCCAAATTCTCATTTCTTAACCTAACAATGAACTTCAAAATTTAAGTTCTCCTTCCACCCTTACCTATCAATTTCAGAAACAGTATGCTTTTGTCCTAATTCTCAAACTTGAAGACAGAGTTTAAAATCCGTCGATTAATTTTGAACAAACTAATGTTTAAAATGTGTATCGAAAGTCAATCGACTGTCCAGGTATCATTGAGCATTCTGTCCACCTCATTGATGATGATAATGGTGACGTAGAGTAATGAGGCAATTATCTATCGAAGGATTAAATCGTTCGTTTATCCGAATATTGATTTTCACGAGACAAAGGCCACTTCTGGCCGACAAAAGCGGCCATGTTTCAGGCACTCAGTCGTTCGCTACGCGCGACTACGCTTGCTCGTCCGTGCGGGACCACCGACAGAAAAAGGTGTACCGATGTTCCAATGAATGCAGTGTGCGCGCCTCGCCGCGGTTTTCAAACGTAAACTTATACTCGATGAAAAGGGAGACAAAAAAACGAGGGAGGAGGCAGAGGGAGCGAGAGGGACGAGCATGGAACGACAATGCAGCGGCATAAAGTCTCACAAGACGCACGGGAAACCTCCTTGCAACGGGGGACAAAAACCTATAATGGACACAATGGTCGATGGATCTCGGCTGTGAGCCTTCGACTGGAAGGCGCCGGTATTCATTGTGGTGTACCTTCGAAAAGATTATGTCGAGTAGATGTTTGCTTCTTCGCCCCGGTAGCGATTCAGCGCGCTCTTGGAATTTGTGTGCCGTTTTTTCTCCTTTTTCGTATACACCGGAGATGGCGAGAAAGCGTTCACTCTAAAAAGCGTTATCAAAGATTTAGGTTAGGTTCAGGAATGCAGTATTACTTTAACGAAGAGTCTCAACTAATTTGGATAGTTAATACGCGTTGCTAATTTATGATTAAATTAATGAAAGTAGTTGTACGCGAAAGATTTCTACAAGTTCGAGAAATCAGGTCTGACAGGTTCATCGACGCACCGCATGTAAGACACGTTATCGGATTATGTTAGCCGTTCTACTAACCTGTCCATTTCATCTCCGTATCCGACACTATCGTCTTCCTGACTGAACCAATTTATACCGACACTTTGATATTCGTTAACATATCTTCAACAGCTAGTATCATACCCTGACAAAATATATTGCACTCTAGAACAAGTCAGGTTTCATATTTTTCTGTGAAATAACTCCCTAAAGTACTGCATGAAATAATTTATTTAGTAAGACATTTCGTACCTCAACTTCCACAATAGTGTAGATCATAACAGATCATAAATAGTACAACTTACACCAGCCAACTCTTAAAAGTCTATAATCAAATATTGTGTATACTATTCATTATGAAAAGAGGCCTCTTATGAACAATAATGTTCTTGTTAAACATAATACCCTTATAAGCAGAACATGATCTACCTCATAAAAAAATTGCAGATGACACTGCGTTTTTTATTCACAGTAAATTTCATTCATCGTAAAAATCCGTTGACAGTCAGCGAGTAAAAGAATACCGCGTACACGTGTCGATATCAAACGACCACTTCCGTCTAATCAAATCCGTGTCAGAGATCGTGTTCCAGACAAATGCTCGAGGCCTTGTGTAAAGGCTCGTTTAATTCAACTTCCCTCAACATCCCCTTATTCTATTATCCAGGCCACCATTCCACCTCCTCTCGTTTAATTGCATTCCCGAAGATGAGATGCGAATCTACCGGGCGAACAAACACGAGGCGAGCAGAAAATTAAACTATTAAAGCGCTCGTGAACTCGAGTATCGCGCGTCGCGATCATCTTGGCCCTCCCTGAACGTAGGTGAGGAGAGGAACGCGCGGACTTCGTGTAGTTTCCCCGTTTATCGTTGCCGGAGATCGTGCCACCGGGTTGCCTCGACTTTAAGCAATTAGCATTTAACCCACATATCGGGCTTCTTGCCACGGAACCCGCTAACCAAAATCCGGCCGTGGAAGAAACTTACAGTAGATATTACGATATGTAACTCTCATAAGACTCAACTATGTGTGCCATCTAAATTACTTGTACACTCTTTCTTTGGGTCGGAATGAAAGTTGTAGGGAGGCTTGCAATAATTTGTTAATGGCTGTTTCGATTTCTCATCGTGTATTTCGATACAACGTGATGGTAATATTATGTATGGTGGTACGAGGTTTAGTAGTGCAGCAATACGGCGCGTTGCAAGTACAAGACATTAGTATACTGACAAGTGGTAATACAATCGGTGGTGATATAATGCGTGGCAGTACAGTGCGTGGTAATACGACGTGTTGGTACTACAGCGCACTGGTAGTCTAACGCGTAGTATTATGGTGCATTGGTGGTCCAACGCGCAGCACCATGGCGCACTGGTAGTCCAACGCGTAGTACTACGGCGCACTGGTAGTCTAACGCGTAGTATTATGGTGCACTGGTATGCGCAGCCCTACGGCGCATTGGTAGTCCAACGCGCAGTACTACAGCGCATTGGTAGTCCAACGCGTAGTACTACGGCGCACTGGTAGTCTAACGCGTAGTATTATGGTGCATTGGTAGTCCAACGCGCAGCACCATGGCGCACTGGTAGTTCAACTCATAGTACTACGGCGCACTGGTAGTCTAACGCGTAGTACTACGGCGCACTGGTAGTCTAATGCGCAGCCCTACGGCGCATTGGTAGTCCAACGCGCAGTACTACAGCGCACTGGTAGTCTAACGCGTAGTACTACGGCGCACTGGTAGTCTAATGCGCAGCCCTACGGCGCATTGGTAGTCCAACGCGCAGTACTACAGCGCATTGGTAGTCCAACGCGTAGTACTACGGCGCACTGGTAGTCCAACGCGTAGTATTATGGTGCATTGGTAGTCCAACGCGCAGCACTATGGCGCACTGGTAGTCCAACGCGTAGTATTATGGCGCATTGTTAGTCTAACGCGTTGTACTGTGGAGCATTGGTAGTCTAACGCGTAGTACTGCGATGCATTGGTAGTCTATCACCTAGTAATATAACCTATAACAGTACAGCGCACGATACCACTCTATATTGGTAATCCAATACGTACTACTACGTGTCGTAGAATTCCTAGATAATTTATCGCGTGTTAACATCACACATAGTAGCACAGTACACACTAATACAATGCACTCTAACTCTTAATCCAGCGCAGCCACAGTGCGCTATCACACATGTAATAACACAATACATGATAATTTAACTGCCGGTAACCCGCAATGGCAACGATAAAACGTGTAATCATTCAACATAGTTGCAAATGGGTCAAGTAATTATTTAAATATCATGGAGTCTGAATACCAATGCGGGTCACCATAGACTTGGAGCGCGAAATAGAAGCAAGTTACTGTGTCGATCATTCACTTGATACGAGAGTATAAGAACATGTACGTATCTGTTCGTTAACGTGTAGTCGAGTAGGAAAGAGAATTAGTATCGTGCAGGGGTCAGGAAGAACAAGCCACGACCTGCTAAGACGGCGAACGATATCGAATAAACAAACGAAACGAGTGGGAGGCGGAGGAAGTGGCGGATATTAAGGTCTTCGTGACGGAACTTGCCTCGTATTATAGCGAGCTAAGTGAGGAGGTCTCTTCGTCTGGTCGAACTAATTCTATTACTTCGTCCCTTCCTTCCACCACCATACCACTTCTATGTGTCGTGGATCGTTGGACCTCTATTTCGGACAGTTTGGATTGTCTTTTGGACAACTGACACAGCGGATTTCGTGGCCTACTTTTATCCTCCAAATCTACACCGAATTAACTTCAGTATGTCAGAAGCATCTTAACCATAAAAAACAATAATGTTCAAAAATTTAAAGGGTGATAAATTCAAGTTTGATCACATAACTCTAAAATGTAGATATCAGTCATCATTTTAAATAGGAGGGTAATAGAGAAGAGTAAGAAAAGTATAATAAAAAAAAATCGAGTTTCAATCTCTTTAAGAATTCAAATGACAGTACATCGTACAAGATGAATGTATTTCAAAGTATAAGAGTATCTTGTCCCTTTCACAAGATTCTAATGAACAGTTAAATTCATCACTGTAATTCGTGGCACGAAAGCAGCATGCCAATAACAGTCTTTCAATCTGTTCATAAACGTCGTTTTCTAGAGCTGTGGTCTTCAAGGATGAACCCATTGGTTTTCATCGACATAAGAGAATTATGGGATTAGAACGCGCGAGGGTCGTTGAGAGAAAGATGGCAGGGGCAGCCAGAAGGTTAGGGGTTGCCCGACAATGTCGCGCAAACGAGCGAGCCACCCCATGCGCGAGACCGCCACGCCCTTCTTGCTGCGTGGAATCGCAAATTGGCACCCCAACCTGACCACCTCTTGATTCTTCCACCTAACTTTTCCTCTTCTACCTCTGCTGAGAGTTTTCCGAGCTGCGATATTCCCTGCAAAAATTTCATATATTTTCTTTTCATTTACAATAGTTGTTTATATGATCGTTTTTATGTGATGTCTTGAA